GGATCCCAGCCATGGCATTGGATTTATAGATCTCAGCCACTAGGTGACCCTGTTTACATGGGGTTTATTGAGATATGCTTTGTGGAGTGATGACGTCTTGCTTCTTCTCATCATCGTCGTCATCAGCCTTGGTCTTCTCGCTGTCTCCTGTAAACCCGGACATCTGGCAAGTCTCCATACCAACCAAATTAGCAGATATGAATTAACTCTGAAATTTCTTTTAACTCCACGATCTTAGCAAAATTTTCTTTTTCGCGAGCGGGACGATTAATATCCCTGAACACCCCAGTTTAGGAAAGTTCATATTTCCTTTAAAAACTAAATATCTGCCACGGTGTATATATATATATATATATATATATTTGTTTGTTTTCGATAATCACATAGGAATATGTAGTTGTTGCTGACCCTTAGCAAGGTTCTATTATGAACAACTAGATTGTGTGTGACTAATCAATTTGTGTGGACTTGTATTTCGGTTTAATCGTATCTAAAGTTTAAAAATAGTTTAACTAGTCTAGTTTGATAATTAAAAGGTTTAGACAATCCTATTACGACAGATTTATTAAGCCCAGTGAGAACGAAACTTAAGTTTTAACTTCCTCTAACAATTATTTCCTGCCTGCTATATTACCACGTGACATGCTTTTATTTTCATTTTAGTATTTTATGCCCAAGCGTATTTTGGAGAAGAACATGTATGTGTGAAGAACTGTTACTTTAATGGCATCTAGAGAAATCAATGATTAAAGTAATCTATGATAAGTCTTTATTGTAGATGTTCTCAAAGGGCATATTATCAAAGAAATATATTCAGACACCAGCTTACTTGGCTCGAATAAACCCTAATAACCCTCAGGAATGTATAATCTTTAGTCTCGCGCGGGGTGAAAAATATTGCTTACTTTTCGAACACCCGTGATGATTAATTATTTCTTTGGAATTAATTAATTTTACATCAAAATAACTGCCAAGAAGAACAACATATCTGTTGAAATGTAATAGCTTTTGTCAATTACATATTATGATGATATGAAAGAAATATATAGTACATTTAGACTTGATCTGGAAAACCTGATTACTTGATGTAACACTATAGCACAAATAATACGCTGTCTAAAGTTTTCACTTTTCCAAGACACATATGACACGTTTGCATTCCTAATAGATATAAAAACCGGGATTCGATATCCGTGATGGGCACATCACAGACGGCCCATTCTGCAGCTTTTTGCCAAAATATAAGTACATAAACAAATAAAATATTAGATTTACAAAGTATGTTTAACAGAAAAACAAAATAGAAAGAAACAGAGTAAATGTAACTAATTTTAGATTATTTATAAAAGTTTAAAAATGGTATTTTGTGTTCTTCGCGTTTCCAAGAAAGATTCATGCAACATCTTGTTTGAAATAAATAATTGGCATTTATAGGGGTTTATTACTTTATAAAGATTGTAATCCTTTTCAGTGTTTTTTTTTCTTTTGCGGAAATAAGGGTGACGCAATTTTTTAAAGAGAAGAAAAGGGGAGGGAAGAAGATAGGCCTTATAATAACGTAAAAGTCGCTTTACAAATAAAAAAATCTCTCAAGGAAAGGGAGGAAGATAGGTCTTATAATAATGTTAATATCACTTCACAACTAAAAAAACTCTCTCAATGTACTCCTCTGCCATATGCCAGTTATATATGTAATTGTCTGTCAATATATGTAAACTCTACTATATATGTAAACTCTGATGTAATTGAAGAACGTTATGATCAAGTTATAGGATAAATGGGTTTTCGGTTAATATATTCGAAAGCAGCTAATATTGGCGTTATACGTTCTTAGTGTATATACGATTTATAATTATGCTGTTTATAAACATATAATTAGAACGTTTCCCTAGTTTATCCTGTATATAGTCACTGACTTATATAGGTTAGTATAAAATTCCACCCCCCCTCCACTGGCACAGTGGCATGTCTGCGGACTTACAACGCTAGAAATCGGATTTCGATACCCGTTGTGAGCAGAGCACAGATGGCCCATTGTGTAGCTTTGTGCTTTGCCACAAACGAACAAACAAATAAAATGCCCATTAGGGTTATATATATTTATGCAGAATTGTTGGAAAATATAGTAATGTATACTACTAAATTTAATGAGATACTTCCCGAAAAAATTTATGTTTAGCCAATTTTGAGGCTTTAGAAACGTATATAGTAACATATACAATTCCTAGATCTTCAGTTTGTTCTGCAACAACTGAACCCATAACAATACTGCGACTTAGTTAAAATGTGTGTTTCGGGATAAAGTACGAGTGGAACAAAATTTAACTTTACGTAAGTTCACAGTTATAAGTTTGGAATATTCTATAATATTTTACTCAAGCAAAATGTTAATTTCTTAATGGTATAATTAATGTCTCTTTCGGTATGCTAGGAACGTATTGATGTGTAAAGCGCAGATGGACATGATTCTATTTCGTTCCAGTTACTAAGTAGCCAAACTGATCTTTATTAGTGAAATGTCACTCAGGTAACGTATCACCAGCCATCAAACGTTACTACTTTAGTACAGTAATATTTGGCTGCCTTTACCATCATACTTAGCGTGGCGAAATGAGTGCTGTGACATTGTATCTTCTTGACTGCTGCCGTCGGTTCGAAGAAACTTAGGCCTAAGGTAAAAATGTGTGGAGCTCTTTCAGTTATTCATTTTATTGTATGAAATTATTATCTATAAGTTCTCTAAGTCAAATTTTCAGTTAGGCCAATACAATTTGGAAATCCAACCGTGTAGCACATGACATACCGTACAATGCAGGCCTAACGTTAACGGCAATTATCGTATCTACTGATATTGATAATAATTTAAAGTATTTTAAGGTCACTGATATAGTTAGTGTAAGAATGCTACAAAAAAAAGATACAAACACGATTCATAATTAGTTATTTTGCCCTAACGTATACACTCTAAAGTAATGATTTCGTTCACTCAGTAATTTAAAATTACCTACGAATCAAAATAGGAAAGGTGAAGAATCTGTATTTCTTACATTAGTTAAGCTTGGGAATATCAATGGTAGTATTCTACACGAAGCCTCTCCTAAGCATGATTGTAAAGGCAGCAAAGGTTATTACAGTAACGATTGAGGGTTGGTGGAAAAACTACCCTAGAAACGTTTCACTAGTGAGACTAGGCTTAGGTCAAATTTAGCAAGAGAAGCCAAATATGTAATACGTAATTAAATCTTAATGTTTATAACATTATATATACTGAAATTAAATGTCAAAGTTCATTTGAAGTTCAAGTTCAAAAGAAAAACCGTAAGATGACCTTCAAAGTATGTAATTTTATTGTTGTAAATATAAATTCCTTGTGAAAGGTTTCCCTGTTAATCCCTTACATAACTTAAGTACTTGAACAAAGCTGATTTTATTTATTTGCCAAACACTAATGTATCTATATAGATATAACAGTACTGTCTGTTGTCTGTCTATATAACTACTTCGCAGTGTTTGGACGAATCTTCACCAAAATTGGTATGGATGTTCATTAGGTCCATGCGGGGGTACATACAAATTTTCAGTTTTGCATTTTGCGGTTTGCGGTTTTTATTGGCGTTTTTGTGTTTTTTACCACTATCTCACCTCCTCTTTACGGATCTTCACCAAATTTGGCGTGGGGATTTGTTGGTTCCATGCGAAGATACATGTAAACTTGTGGTTTCACATTTTGTGTTTTACAGTTTTTATGTGCGTTTTTGCGTTTTTCACAATTACATATAAGGAAAGCAACTTTTCATGTCCTAAGATAACCTTTCATTAATCATGAACTTACTCAACATACACAACATCCAGGGGATGGGTACTCCAGTTAATTATTTATATATATATATATTACACTGTCAGCTGATAATTCCCGATAATTACAATTGCAAGATTTAAAAAGTTTGTGGCACGAAAAAGGTATTTGGATACATTCATGCAAAAAATAACAACATAGCCTTTCTTTACATTCTTTGATAACTCGTTATCATTAGAGTATTTTTACAATTTCATACTGCAATTAGTTTGAATAAATATTTACTTAAGATACAAATCGTACAAACATACGAATTAATTATCACTTGTGTGGTAATTTAAAAATCCTTTTCTGTGTGGATTATGTTTTTCTTACCAACACTTTCTTGCGCATGCTGTACAGTTGGTTTATTCCATGTTTTCCTTGACATTTAAGAATCAATTTAAATGGTCCTAAAGTTATTGCAGTACACACACAAAACGCTTATCTTAAGAAACACATTTCCATATGAATAGCCTTCCATTGGCACAGCGGCATGTCTTCGGATTTATAATGCTAGAAACAGGGTTTCAATACTCGTGGTGGGCAGAGCACAGATAGCCTATTTTGTAGCATTGTGCTTAATTCCAAACAAAGAAAACAATATGAATAGATAATATTTTCAGTTATATGGTTCTTAGGTACATTCTTTGAGTTACGTACTCCATGATGAAAATATTATAACATTTTATTTTTCACTCATATTATCTCGTCTGTATAAAAGAAACTATAATTTAGAAGAAAATTTGTTTCACGCAGATTTATTTATGTATTACACTTTGTTGGTTGTTTATTTTTATCGTAGCTGTTATTATCTGTCTGTAATATTATCTTAGTGCTTTTGTATACGATTAAGGTTTAGAATAAAATCATGTCATTTTATATCTTAAAACAACCTGTAGAAAAATTATAAGGAACATAAAACGAATACCAAATATCTTATGACTTTATACTTTCCTGCACACGCCCTATCTCAACCTTCCATCTTGTTTCAATCGATATTTTACCATATTCTTTAACACTACTTAATTTAGTTCCTTGAACTTGAATTTCAGCGTATATATATTTTTTATATTTCCACTCGTCATTTGACATCTAAACAATGGAAAGACAAACCTGGTTTTACAACAGGAAGCGAGACCTCATTTTATTTCTTATTTTTCAGATATGGAGGATTAGAGTTGAACGTAGCACGCAGGAAAAACGTGACCCGCGACTCGACGAGCACTCTCAAAGCCTGGTTGAACGAGCATCGTAAGAACCCTTACCCAACTAAGGGAGAAAAAATAATGCTGGCGATCATTACTAAGATGACACTGACCCAAGTCTCCACGTGGTTTGCAAATGCTAGAAGACGATTAAAACGAGACAACAAAATGACTTGGGAACCGAGAAATAAAGCTGAAACTGATCCTGATGATAATTTGGACGTTAAAAAGGACAATGATGTTGAGGAGCAGGAAACTCGAGATGAAACAGATAAAGGTGGTGACAGCTGTGAAAACAGTGATGCCAAAAAATGCAACGCCGATATACGGAACAGCACTGCCGCTAACGAGGAGGCTTTTATTTTAACAGATGATTGTAGTGAGTCTAGTAGAACGGAACAGGATTGTAATACGAAATCTAACACAGTAACCGGTAGGTTTGACGAACCAAAATTTCATTAAAACCTAGGAAAATGATACTATATTAACGTTTATGTGTGTGTTTCATTATGTACATTTTCACAATGATTATTTTAATTAAATATTAGAAAGAACTATGTGTGAACGATTATGTTAGTACTTTTCTTAATGTGAGATACATGTCACTTAAGATTTGCTACATAGTATTGTAGTAGTATATGAATATGCGTATTAACTACACAGACGTACATATTCATAAAATTATCATACTATTGTTAACTTTAACATTGAAAGGATCCGGAGAGGATAGAGAGCTAAGTGACCCAATTGCAAAATACAATAGTTTTGCTATTTTCTACAAGTGCAATGCCATAATGGGGCAGCATTTTTTGGTTCATTACTTGTCATTTAGAGTAAGAAAAAACACATTGCCCTTTAAAACCTAAAGAGACATATCTTTTCCTTTTATATGCCTTACATTAGGCAATAGTGTAAACTAAATTTTGAACAGGTAAACAATCCCCCCCCCCCAAAAAAAAAAAATGGGGCGTCTAACATCCAACAACTGGCTGCAGACGGTGAATGTTAATTTTAAATGTGGAACGTTTTGGATTTGAACATCCATAACTGCTAATATATATATATGTTGTAGTTCTAATGTAGTTCTGAATGTGAGGCTTAAATAGAGATTAATTATGATAAACCATGTATACCTTTTCTCTTTCTAGTTTCTACACCCAAAATATACCTCTTTTACTTGGGTACACTTTACTTTTCCATCATTTTAATTTGTACCATAAATTTACTTCTCTGGACTTAAAGTGCGACGTTTCTTGTTTTTAGTCTAGATGTTCTAAATTACAGTCAAACACATTTCAAATAAAAAAAATCTCTATTGTATAATAACCGATGTTTTATCTTAAGTGGATAAATATTGTGAGTTGAGCACATGATTACCTCAATTAACTTGTATTTAATAGATTGTTCAAATTTCATTACTCCTATGATATAGGATTTCCCAAGAGCAAACAAATAAAATCATTTAACACGAACAAATCATAGATTGGCTGTTTGTTTTGTTTTACATGTTTAGCTCTGCTTTCACATTCCTTCTTTTTTTTATTGTTTGATTAAAGTGAGTTAATCTATTAAAAATTCAGAATTTTTTTTTTTATCATTCTTGTTCCTTATGCCTTTGATAATTAAATTACGTTGAAAATGTCAGATCAGTAAATATTATTCGTTGTTATGGAAATAACCAATAAACTACTATAAAATGCATTTTTATTCCCAAACATAAATTTGTTGCTGGAATATCTTAACAAAAGAGAATGATCTTTTTAGCTTTTAATATTACCTCAACAGGTTTTAATGTTATGGGCTTTGCATGCTCTGTGGTTGCATGTCAGGTTGTGCATGGAAAAGTATTAAGTTCGTGCCGTTATGCCGCTAAATACGCTCCGCACTTTCAGCTGTGGATGCGTTATAAGAATGGAAGTCAGTCGTTTGTTCATTTCTAAGCCGGACAAAGACTTTGTGGTACCGAGTGCTTTTGACTGGCTACTTTCCCGCTGGACAGTAGTTCAAAATTAGGAAGGTTATATTATAACTGTATGGGTCTTTGACCAGGCTGTTAAGACTACGTGCGCATAAAGTTCAAGTAAAAAATATCTTTCACGTTAAGGTTCTACGCCAAATTCGCCATATTCATATTCAGAGGTTTTATCTGACAGTATTCTGTCATCTATCAGGCAGAATGTATTCTGTTAACTCTTAAGTATATGGTATTTTTTGTTGCTATATGTATCTTTTAAACACTTTGTAAAATAAGAAACTTTTAATAGTTAAATATATATATATATATTCTTTATCTTAAATGAGGAACAGATGTTAAAGTATATTTTAATATGGCACGTTATTCCATTTTAACGTAGAGGTCAACGATGTTTATAGTGGTTAATTTTTATTGTATCTTATGGAATCATAAAGTACATATTTTTCTTTTTCGTTAAAAAGTTTAGATAAATTAATTTCCAAAGTTGAGCGTTGTGTTCGAACTGAAAACGTTTTGGGTCTCTTAATGCTATTCTTGTACTGGTTTTTTTATGCATAACAAAAGAAAGACACCCATACAAAAACAAATTATTTCCTTTATATAACAAGTGAGTCCGAGGAACACGCGAACTCCAAAGGAGTTATTTCAATAAAACTTTTATCGTACTGGTTTCAAAAAGAAGCAGCGTAGCTTCTTATATGAGATTGAATAATCAATACTATGAGGAGATAACTTCGCAATTTTTGTTTATAGAAAATCACTTGTAATTTGACCTAACTGTTTATTGGTAATAATATAACTAGCAAACACCATCGTATGTCCGTGACACAAACTAATATTAAATGGTTTTATTTTTTAAGCCACTCTATTCTTTGTATAGCATTAGGTTTATTACTGAATAGTTTGCTTATTGCTATAACGCTGACAATTTCTCTATGTTAATTTATGCTTTGCGTTTCTCATATATGCATCAGGATTTGTATGTGTGTGTGAAACTTAAGTGCTTTGCCATGGTGTGTGTGAAGCTTAAGTGCTTTGCCATGCGTGTATAAGCCTAAATATTATAATACGTAGTTGCTATTTTTCTCACATTCATAATTTATTCAAATGGTCCGAGAAAAAAATTATTTTGCTGTCGTGATAATAAGGTTTGTGGGTTAGGTAAATCTGTAACAAAAAATAAATAAAAAGTCCGCGTGCAACTGTGTTGCATGTTTATTTTAAGCCACTTAAAAAATACTTCTAATCAAAGATTAACGTACGAATAATGACGAACCTGAACTTTGTTGCATAAATAATATCTTGGATCCCCGTCACACCAAACATGCTCGCCATTTCAGCCTTGGGGGCGTTATAATGTGACAGTCAATCCCACTGTTCGTTGGTAAAAGACTTGATGGTGGGTGGTG